TGTGCAATGGCAGTGCAGTTTCCACTGATGACTCTGAGTGGTTGGTGGTCCTTTAGAACCCCCTGGCATTGTGGGGCGGTGATGCTGTCATTGAGATGCATTGCAGTGAAATCCCAAAGATAAAGGGACTGGCTCCAGCCATCTTGTGACGTGTGCACCACCATGGAAACAGGCTCTAATGTTTGCAGAATACCCACTATGTGCCAGATACTATATGGGGTGACTTTCATATGCTCTATATTTCTCATCATCTCTGGGCTAAAATTCATTTTTCTGATAGCCAATATTTGTAGCATTCTTTTGTCTGTTTGTTCCCCCCCTCAAGTTAATGAACAGATTTTTTTGTCATTTGAAGGTTGATGAAAAACCATAAATTAATCCTATGAAAGAAAAATCCAACACTTCAGTAGAAAAAAATAGTTAACTATATTTACTCATTAAACACTATTTAAGTTTTCTAACACGCAACTCGAAAACATTCAGCATGCATTTTTAATTTCTGTACAGTGGATTCAAGACCAAGTATACACATTACATACATCAAGGCTAGATTACAAATTACCATAGTCATTATCATCTCCATTGTTATCATCATCATCTTCACTTGACGGTTCATTGGTATTATTTTGTGATGACACCGTATTAGTGGTAATAAGAATGTCTTTGGACTCAATTAATGATAGGTTGATCAGAACATTCCGAACTGCTGATGTTGCAGGAATTGATGCTTTCCCTGCTGGAGACTGTGTTGTAGGCATGTTTAGTATTACCCTTTGCCCTGTGAGGGACATTGGAGTCCCTACCTTAGTTGAAACAGACATGATTTGTGAGGTTGGTGTGCCTAGAGTGGGAGTACTTGTTCTGCTAGTAACTGAACCAATACTTAACCATGGAACTGTTACTTTCTGTAGAAGTAGGTGCCTTTTTATGTAAAGACTTTTTAAGCGTATAGTTTGGAGCTGTAAGCAGTATCTATCAGGTGGCACTCTAGGACCTGAATATGGCTTGATCAATGCCAAAGGGGTTTGATTTCTTTGCCTTGCAATGTCTAATAAAAAAATCTCTTGGGGAAGGAGAGGTAAAAGACTGGTCAGCACAACACTGGATTGAAGATGATGATAATCACTATAATAATTTGTAACCTAGACATTTTTTTGGAGAGGGTTTTGCTATAGGGTATGTGCGTACGCCAGAAAGACAGAGAGATAGAAAGCGAGAAATCGCCTCCCAGGAGGGTTGGCCACACCGCAATCCTCCATTCTCCCCTTGGAATCTTGGGCACGCATGTACACGCGCCTGGAGTGAGTTTAAGCCACCGGGTCCAGGACTCGAATCGTGGTCGACTATATGGGAAGTTCAGCGACATAGTCATTACACTAACTGCTGGTCCCATAATCCAGCCTTTCTTTAAAAGTGTGTGCCACACACACACATGGTCTCTGAAACAAATCTGTTGCATGGTGTTAATTTGGAGTTCTACTCCTTAATCAAGAGTCACACACTTCAACCACTGTTTTGGATCTGCTAACAATAGATGGGTCACTGAAAGCTTAATCATCTTGGACTTTTCATTTTCTTTTCTATGAAGGGGGCTGCTATTTCTTTCCAACCAGTATGTTAATGTCTTTGAAAATGCTCAAAACACGTTATATGAAAAAATACACAAAACCATTGTATGTATGATGGTCTCAGTTTTTAAAAGGATGCATAGAGGAAAAAAAGCATTCAAATTAACACAGGTGTCCACTGAGTCTTCTGAGAAGCAGATGCTAACATGGGATTAAGACATACAAAGGCTTATTGGGGAAAATGCCTGTGAAGAATGAAGTGGGGAATGGGGCTCTATGCATCCCTCGGGCTGCAGCTGTTTTCCTGTGCCTCTGCCTTCCCTCTTCCCTCATCAGGCCTCGCGTTGGGAGGTAGTCCCGAGGCCACTCAGTCTACACACTTCTCTGGGAGTGGTGGCCCAACTATCTTTTCGGGGTTGTCTACCACCATTCAAGAACAACACAAAATTAACAAGATTAAACAGAAATTCCAGCGATCAGTATCATTTAAGGATGTGACTGTGGGCTTCACCCAGGATGAGTGGCAGCAGCTAGACCCTAGTCAGAGGTCCCTGTATAGAGATGTGAAGCTGGAGAACTACAGCCACCTTGTCTCAGTGGGGTTTTGTGTTACCAAACCAGAAGTGATCTTCAGGCTGGAGCAAGGAGAGGAACCATGGATACTGGAAAAAGAATTCCCAAGTCAGAACTTTCCAGGGAACAATTAAAAGGAAAAGACCAGTACAATGAAGAAGTTAAAGTGAACCCCTTTACTCTTTATGTACAAGTGAATACTAAGAAATCATTTGAATCAGCTTTCTGATAGTCATGACAGAGAAAACGATCTACTGGATCGCAATCACAAATTGGAGAATAAAATTGCTGAACTGAGGCAGAAAATAAAAACAAAAAATCTCAAAAAAAGGACATTCAAATTCTACAGGAAAAGAATGATGACCTTCAAAAGACAATAAAGCTGAAGGACCAGAGCAGAACCATTTTGTCCCACCTTACTGAAGGATGGCACCATTTCAAAGAGGCAAGCCAGACATAGGAAAAAGTCATGAGACCATCACCCCACCGGGACTGAACAATGAAAGAAACAAAAGAGATAACAGAAGCCTAAAGCAACTTTTTGCCTAACTTAATGGCTTAATAACCAATCAGCTAGAGACAGCTACACTTCCTGTAATCTACAACCAATGTTTTGTTGCCTGAGTGCATTCCTCAGCACCCCTCAACACCTTCTCCCCTCCCCCCTTTTTCTTTTCTTTTTCTTTTTTTTGGGAGAGGTTTTTGCTATAGGGCACATGCGCTTGCCAGAAAGAGAGAGACAGACAGAAAGTGAGAAACCACCTCCCAGTGAGGTGGGCAGGCCGCAATCCCTTCTCCTCCATTCTCCTCTCGGGACCTTGGGCATGCATGCACACCCGCCCAGTGTGAGTTGAAGCCACTGGATCCGGGACTCGAACCGCAGTCGACTACATGGGAGTTCAGCGACATAGCCATTACACTAACTGCTGGTCCTCTCCTCCCACTTTTTAACAGCCAAATAAAAACCCAGCCCAACTAACACACTGGGCTCTCACCTCTAAC